TATAGGACATACTTATATATATTCAAACCAATAAAAACTTAATTTTAGCAAATAGAGGTAAAAAGTCATAACAAATAAGATGGAAAAAAATTCACTCAAATATTATACATGTTACAGAATACTGTTCAGCTTGTCATCCAAGTTACAAAGATTTTGAGAGAAAGTGAGAGAAAGCAAGAATATTTAAGAAAAAAATATAAAAGTAAGTCTATATTAAATTTGTAACCAAGTTTTGGAAGCTTATTTTATTACCTTTACTCCATTACAGCAACCAACAGTAATTGGAAAATTATTTCATTTTGATAAAAAAATTCACGGGCTTTTCTTACCGATATTTTAATATGATAATCTGATTAATATAATTATTTATAAATAATCTGATTTGTAACCACCAAATGTTGAGAGTAAATGAATTAAAAATGGATGCTCAAAAGACAGGATTAGCTTTCTTTTTGTAATCCTATCATGTCACTTTTAAAGTAAAAAAATACCCCCTAATTAATGTTTTCTTTGAAAACTTTTGTATTTTTAATATAAAAAAATTGTATTTATTAAATTGTTTATCTGCATACTCAAACAGTTTAATGAAACTTGATATAGGGACAAGTATTTCATATTTGCCAAATCGAAAATACAATTCACTCTCTCTATGGCGACCATCTCCACTGATGTTATCGTCTTAGGTAAATCATATATACTCTCAGAAGTATTACTTAGTTACTTTAAAAGGTCATCGTCTTTAACAGGTGGTTGCTACGTTCGTTGTAGAAAGTTTATTGCAATATGTAAATCAACACATTTTTTTTTACACTTGTAGTGTAAAGATCTTATTTTACTCTAACCAATTATTTTTAGTTCGACTTTCCTTTCTTTCTAATTTCAGTTTTCTGCCGGAATGTAAATTTTGATGACGTAGTATGCAAAATCTAAGTGTGTTTCAGAAGCAGTATTTAAGCTGCGTTTCAAGAATTCGTGAGTGAAATTGTTCCGAGTTTATGCTGCGTGTTTGTATTAGCTCTCTAGCTAGTGTTAGACACTCTTCAGCTTATAATGATATTCTAGGCTTGGCTTTGCTGTATGCAGCCCATTTAGCGGTTTAGATAACTAAGAAGCCAGTCGTTAGTCATCATAATTTATTGTGATTTTACACTTTTATTTTCTATTCATTTTGGTTTAGCCACTAGTGGTGGTGAACTGTGAGCACAGAGTGGGTGCATCTTGTTACTTTAGTTCACGGCGCTGCGTCTATGCTGACATAGGCATGGGTCTTGGGCATCTTAAAGGTGTCAATAAAACTTTGCCCAGCTTCGTCCCGATTTTAAGGGAGAATCCTCGGTGAGGACGGATTCATGGGTCTCTCACTCCTCTCCTCCTACCACTAAACCTCTTGACAGGACTTTCGACTTGCCCCATGCAGCAATGGCATACATTGGCAGCGTTTTCTCCACGATTCAGATTCGAGCTCTGCCATACGGCAGGCAGTAACTTTAACCATTCTACTTATCAAGGTAGCGCACTAATCCATAGATGGTCTAAAAGGATTGTGGTCAGCTTTTGCTATTCAGATTTTACATCGATCCTTCATACTCTTCAGAAATTAAGTTCCATTATTTCCCCAGGCGCTTCTTGATCCATGTAAAGTTCTGAGAGATAATGACGTCCTGCAAATAAAATTCCGAAATCTAAAGACTTGGTTAATCCCACCAATTCTTTCTCTCCTTCACTTTCAATATAGTCGTCGACAAATTCGATTATATTTGGACGAAAATTATCATCCATAAAAATTAATGGAGACTAAATTCTTCTGTAAAGCTTAATATAATATCTTATAAATAAAAGAAGCCAGTGGACTTCCTGAAAACAGATCAAAAGACTTATCTATCTAGATATTCCCTACGCCATGGGTTCCACAGCTACTGGCGGTCAGTTTCTCTGATATTAGAGAAGAGATTATGGGTCACCATTTCTCTCTGGAAAGGAACGAATATGTCGAGAGCCAGAAATTAAGCTGATCTGGACTGAGCACAGAACGAAAGTCCATCGATTTAGAGTCCTAACCTGATCTTATCTACACTTTGTAAACATGTGTCGAGAAAAAGCATTTACATAGGCCACTTGTCTTGTATGTTATGGTGTTTTAATCTGCATGTTTTGGTAACAGCTATAGTAATTTTGACTGCATATTAAATGAAATTTACATATTTCCTTTCTATATCGAAATCTCGTTTTATTTACTTTGAGAAGATACTGAATTTAATTTCCTACTTTTTCTTTGGGGTGGACATGTAAAATACTTTGTATGAATGTTATTTTAAATGAGTGGAAATATAAGAGTTTCATTAAATTAAAGCAGGCATAACGAAATAAAGAAAGCATGTACGTTCATTAGATGTATTTTTCACGTGAATACTATGTATATACTATGGTATAACTAATTTTTAAGTATATACAACTGATTAATAACGAGAAGTAATAAACAAATTTGATTTCTCTATTCATTTCCTGTCCCACCCTCACATCACTCGATATTCATTTAAATATTCAAATAGAGCGAAAAAAATCTGTAACTATTGGTTATTGAGATTCTTCATTTAGAGAGTATACACAAGAGATTTTTAAAAAGTCAAAAAATAAAATAGTTTAAGAGTTTTTTCTTTCTTTCGGATACTCCCATTAAAGGTACTTATATATGCTCTTCACAAGCTACATGTATTTTTCAGCCAGTATAAGATTTTTATTTTTTGGGGGGGGGGTATTTTTTAATATTTTCGATACAATATTGACTGAGTCGGTTGTTTAAACGCGAAATAAATAAATAAAAAAAATTAACAAATCAAATTTAAAGAACAGAAGTCTTTGTGAAGAATTTTCACGAGTGTACATTCGTATGATTTTTTTTTTCTACTCTTTCTTGACATTTGCACTTTATTTTTATAAATCTTTCAATGTTGTTGTTTTTACAGTTAATGGAAATGTCACATAAACTGTAGATAAATATCAAATATTTTCAATAATCTGTGATTATTAAAAAAAATACAGAAACACAAAAAGAACAAAACCTTAAGAAGCTAAGAATTACAAGAACAAAAGAATGAGAAAAGTCTTTACATGTAATAATTTAAGTAAAAAATAATAATACATGTAATAATTTAAGTAAAAAATTATTGCACTCCTCCCGGATCCCCGTTTTTCTAACAAGTATGGCAAAAGAAATTTAGATAAAAAGGTTTAGATTTAGATAAAAAAGAGGTTTAGCTTTAGATATAAAAATTTAGATAAAAAAGTCATCATAAAACAAACTCAAAATCTTCGCATTAATTAAAAAACTCAAGAATCTAATTTACAGCTAAAAGATATGTATAGTAAGATACATAATTTAAAATGTCTTGAAAATTCTGAAAATATGATTAAAAATGAAATAAAAATTTACTTATTTCAAGGAGATTTCGAAATGAATATGCATAGATAATCATCATTGAGTTTATTATTGATGTAAGCAAGGTAAATATTTACTGGTACATTCAGGGAATAAAAATATGCACTATCTTCATGTTTCTGTTTTAGTAATAAACCATTATTTTCAAACTAGCTTCAGCATACAAAAATAACTTTTCCAACAAAGATTTTATCCCAAAAATATAACAGAATAAAAGATAATATGTATAGGTCTAACTGCTTTATTGCCTGAAAGATTTCTAAGAACTGCAGATATGCTTGACTGATCACTGATCAAAGTTAACCTATCCCTGGTTATACTGCTCATTTAAAGTTTTCAATTGTAGGTATGAAATGCATGAGGATTTAGAACTAATTTGAAGCATTAAGAATAAGACTTTTATAAATCTTAAAAATTTTAGTAATAAATTATGAAAGTTTTTAAATTAAATATTTTAAGCAAAGCTTTATTCAGAATCTTAATTTGTATAAAAAACTTACTTGTCCGTACAAATGATTCGATTATTTTATATACATGAAGAATTACATGAAGAAATGTATGAAATAATATGGCATACATAAAAATACTTCACATTTAAGAAGCTATTAAAAAATTTAACTGAAAAATTCCAAGTAATTTTTTTTTACGTTTAGGAGGGAGAGATGGAGGACACTAAAGTAAGAATTCGTGACAAAAAGTGTTTTCATTTACCTTCATGTTTATAAAAAGCTGCATGTTTTATTACATAGCAATAAAATTCAGTTTGTTAAATAATGCAATGATATTCAGTTTATACTACTTTTGTTCAAAATAAATTATAGTTTGCCAGAGAGCAATTTGTTTATTACAAACAAATGTAAAAGGAATTATTTATCTACTACCACAATTTACTTTTAATTGTTTCTCACGTAACAGAATATTTAAAGATCTTTCTCAAACTAAAGGTTTCTCAAAATTAATGTCAATTGCAGCTCTTCCTAAATATCCTGATTAAATTATTACAATAATGTCTAATCTTTTAAAATGAAGGATAATGGCGTTATTTTCAATGAGTGAAGTAGCACAATGAAATTAAAATATGCTTTATAAATTTTTTTAGAACCATATACATTTGAAATTCATTTAAATTTTATGATTTAAGCGATCACGAATTTATTACATTAAATCTCAAATATATTCTCTTCTAGTACGATAATCATAAAATATCACAGCAAATAAATTCTTTTATTTTTATTACAGCTTGTTGCTTACATTAAAAACAACTTTAATTACCAGACCGTATTCTTGACATGCCATTTTACATTCCATTAAACGAATTTTCAAGGCTAGTGCTTCCATAACTATTTAATATTTAATGCTTTTAATACACCTCTTGCAAACAAGCATTCATAAAGCATAGCATACCTCCTCCCCCCACATTTCTCAGTTGGCGTGAATGCCAATCGATATATATCTTTCAGCAAGTTTTCACAAAATATTCATAACACAGAATATTAGAAATATATTTACGATGGAATATATCACATCAAGAGAAAGAAAAACTATATTTATTAAATGTACTCACCCAGAGAAGCAAGATATTTTCAAATCTCCCAGCGTCTCGGCGATGTCTTCCATGGAAGCCGCCATGTTGGCAATACGTCATTAAGAGAACGCGCCCGCCATGGGCAGCTAAAATTCCAGCCTTGTTAAGCCTAGCCGCTAAAGTAACCGTGCGGCATGGAGAAGAGTGTAAATACTTTATGTATTTACAATTAACTGACCTGTTCTGAAACTGGAAGGGTGTTTAAACCGGTTTTGTTAGATGCTTTATATGAATACTGATGAGATACAATAAGATAGGATCAATCAATTTTGTTGCATGTTTTCTTGGGTGATACTCAAGCAAATTGGTTTACTTCTTCTGAGACTAATCGATATTTTTTCATCAATACCTCCATTTTCCATTAGTCTTTTCACTAAATAAGGCAACAATAATTAGTTTGATTATGATTATCAGTTGCATTTGTGAATACTAATTAAACTATTCGCAGGGCGAAATACGTTAAGTCACATACCGTTAACTATTCTTTTCAAAAAAGACTGAAAATCAGATTTTGCTTAATAAATTATTCTCATGAATATTACATTAACATTTAATCATCGTCAAAGAGAATTATATAGTAACTGCACTGTATTATTTCGCATCATTGATTCAGTAACTGAAATGTACATTTATTAGGATTTTTCAATTAATAAATTTTAAAATTAGAAAAAGAAAAACTTGCAGATTGATATAGATTTTCAACAAAGTTCTATCGATTTCGAGGAAGCTAACATATGTTCACCTTTGCAGAGGAAAAAAATTGTTTTCATTAAGAAGAGGGACCTCTATCAGTCATATTTACTTCTGAAGAAGAAAGAAATGTGTCAGCCACTCTAAAAATCAAGAGTTTAATCAATGCTCACCTAAGGTCTTTTCTCCTTCCCGTCATATTTTACAATTTACATAACTTTATATAAGTAAGTAAGTAGCTCTTCGATGTCAAATTGATACTGACACTTATTCCAAAAGGAATGAAGTGTTTTTTTTTTTTTTTTTTTTTTTTTTTGTCATCTGTGCTGCAGTTACTGAATTGCAGGTTTACCTGAATATAACTTCATGATAAAATGAAGATAAAAGTTTCATTTTCAGTTGTAAGCCAACAGCACATCCTTTGTATCATACAATCAGTTTTTCTCTCGTGTTCCCAATATTTGCATACGTTAATTTGCTTTCTTAAAAAAAAAAAAAAACGATTTCTGTCATTTAATTTTATATCTGTTTCTAAAGCATTTATTTGAGTTTTTAATGGGAAATAAACAGACGTGATTTGCATTCCATTTTTCTCTTTCTGTCTCTATGATTCACATAAAGGATATGTATTGAATTTCACCATTATGCATTCGCTTTATACATGCTTACAGTACAATACAAATAATAGACGGATAATTAAAGGTTATAAAATTATTCACATCACAAAAATGTCCTAAAAAATTTGATTTCATATCCATCCATTTCATCATATAATTATTTCAAGTAATAATTCATATGAAATATTAACTATAAGCCACAAACACTGCAAACCGGTGTATTTTAAGTTTAATAATCATTTATTTATATGCAGTGAATCCTCTCTATTAGATGACCCTCTAAAGTTTCAGTTTATTTGGGTCTTCAGTAGAAGTGGTCGCCTTAGACAGATAATGTTCAATACTGGTGTTTATTTATGTTTTCAGAAATACCATCGTTTCAAATTTTATCGCACGATTCAGAAATAATATTCTTACAATCCAAAAACCTCAAGCTCTCGAAATCAATTTACATTCTGGTGAGGAAACGGAAAGAAGAAGTTACAGTAAAGGCTGAAAATATAAATTACTGGTTAATTTAAATATTCTATTTTGCAATATGTATATATAGAGAGAGATTACAGTATGTATATGCACATATGAATGTGTGTGTTACGATAAATATATCCATAATCTGAGAAGTTATAGTTGAGGCTGAAAATATAAATAGCTGGCTAATTTAAAAATTAAATTTTACAATATATAAATTGCAGTATGTATATGCACATATGTGTGTGTAACGATAAATCTGTCCATTTTTTTTTTATTCCTTTCACTTAGCCGTTAAATAAGTAATCTTATTTCTGAACTGTTTTAATTATATTATCGACATTACTTCCTCAACAGAATAATCTTTGTTGTAATGAAGACGTGTATAAATTAACTAAAGCTTGCAGAGTTAGAGCACCTGGTGAAACATTAAGATGAATGCTTTTAAGGTGACACATAAATGTGTAAACAGAGGCGTTTGAATGCATGAAAGGCGACATGAAATATCTTAATCACGGAAAGCAGGTGCAGAAAACTAATTACACAGAGATTAATCCCTTAATCGCCAGACAGAATGAATGAAGAATCAACAAAAACTAATTATTACCTAGAAAAATTAGTAATGACTTTTACTGAAATTTTGCAAAGGCTTATTAACATAATAATTAAAGGTAATTTTAAAGAGTTTTAGGGATAATAATAATAACAAACAGAATACAAAAGCAGATGTTTACTGATTTCTTTATGGGATGTTTTCAGAACATGTGCATGTTATATAACATCTGTTTTTAATCTATTTATTTATTTTGTTCATTAAGAAATCAATTACAAAACAAACCCCTATGCTTAAAATCTCTTTACATGTATGTTTACATATGTTTGCTACGCAAACGCTTACAAATTCAGCTGCAAATTACAGTGGTTATTTACAATGGTTATAACATATAATTTCCTTTCAAACTTAATGAGGTGACTCAAACTGTTAAATGCTTTCATGATTTTATACACTACATCAGTATTTAAGAAACTCCACGGAAAAAGAAGATGAAAAATCTATTGTCAAGTAATCTTCAAAAGTCTCCGTGTACACTAAAAATGGATTAAATTTAAATACATGTTGAAATAACTTTCTTATAAGAGATTTAAAACCGTCTTGAAATACTGTCTCAATTACTAACCATACAAATGCGTATAAACTGTATAAGAAAACCCTTATATATATTTTATATACAGTTTTACAATGTACTCGGTAGGCAAATTAGAAATGAAAATTATTAATAGCTCATTATCCAATTGCAGAAATGTCTAAGCAGTGCTTCATAAGCATTACTTTGACATGAAATTGTCAAACATTTACACAAATATTTTTACAAAGTACTAAGACCTGCTCATTTTTAAATAACAGAAAAATTAACAATTAAACACATTTTGCCCAAATTATTGATCCTATCTCTGTATTTCTTTCCAAAATAACAGAAAATCCTATTAGCATTAACATTTCGTACAACTTATATACTATATAGGTACTAAACATAAGATGCACACAAAACTATCAATCTCAGAGTGGGAGGCACTGAATAAAATGTTGCAGATGAATTTTTATAACTCAAGTTATTAAATTACAGTCAACTAAAATAACAACTAAAACTAAAAGTTTTAATAAGTTAACAACTAAAAAGTTTAATAATTAACAAGTAACATTGTACAACTCCGACTACATATAGAAAGAGCATCTTTGAAAAATAAACTACCTTAAAAAAATTCAAATTAGAAACTGTCATTAAGTTCTAAATCCTTTTCAGAGGGCTAAAAATTTTAAACTTCGCAAACTACTCTCAACAATGAAAATTCAAATCAAAATTTTAAAAAAGTGCAAATTCATTTAACTCGTTATAATCAATGGAGAGGATGTAAATTAAACATATAATTGGTTTCAACGTATTTATGCATAAAGGGGGAGGAAAATGGGAATAATGTTAATGTAAGATATCTCTTTAAAATTGGGGGGGGGGTAGAATTAAAGGGAATTCTATATATTCTGAATAATATGAATATTAAAATAATTCATAACACATAGTTCTAAAATCTAACATCCTTTTTACTAAAGCACATTGCATTATGTATTATACTTATTTAGGGTCATTTGTTAAAACTATCATGCTTATGAAAGTGATTAATTATTTTGACTGAAACTATTACAATGAACATCAGGGAAAAATAAAACAACCATTAAAACGGTTCACTTAATGTTTATAGAAGCATCTGTTGATATTATAGTTAATTGGCCATTAGCAGTTAGTACTGAAAATCATAAATAATCTTTGGCCCAGCAGCGGCGAAGCGGTAAAATCGCTGACAACTGGTAGTTCCGACCTGGGTTTGATTCCAGCAAAACGGGCTAGCTGCATAGGCGTTTTCGTGGTTTTCCCCATATATATACGAGCCAATTTCCCTTAGGGAATCCTCCCCGAAAGAATTCCTTCCCTTAGGCAGACAACCCTAGTGTGCTTTGCCATAATGTACTAAACCAAATGATCGTTGTTTTCATTCGGTCTCTTGTCGTTAATAAATTAACTGATTTTTGTATTAACTAAGCGAAAACATTGTTTATGCAATGCGTTCGATTACGAAAGTTTTATGAGTAATCCAAAGCAATTCTTCGACGTAATTATCCAAATAAATATTCATGCATAAACAGCAGTTTGTAGCCCATTTTAAATTCTTCTTGAAAACTAGAAGCAAATCTGATCGTTATTTTTTAAGTGGAAAACTTTTCCAAACCTGGATGGTAAAAATTAAAGATAAATTATGATTCTTATGAATACAGCTACGTGAGTTGGCAGGAAAGTTTACGGAGCAGAATAAAGTTATAAATTATACTGTCACACTTTGGAAAGACTAGACAATACAACTTCAACCTAAAACGGGCGGAGTCATGTGAGAAAGCAATTCAAACGTAACTCCAAAAAATAAAAATTACAATTTGCAAAATGGCAACACTACCAACCATTCTCAGGTATTACCAAATAGGCATTAGAAAACGTCTTCTTCATAATTTCTCGCATAAATTTTTACGTGAGAATTTTAAATAGCTGATTCCATCCGAAAACGTTTTCCAGCTATAATTATGTTCCCATAAAAGACCTAAGCTGATATAATGAACAAGTGCGCGGATACCATAATTTTCGAATCGGAAATGGAAGAAATATTCGTCTGCACTTCATATTTTTCATCCTCATAGCAATTACCGATGGTCATATGATTATATCTGTTGCCATTAGTTAATGTTTATCCTTTATGACAGAAAACGGCAGATTTCCTTAAAATGAAACCACCGCTTGAAAT